TCCAATTTTAGCACTGACGACTAATGTGAAACTTGAGAGCCAAAATCAGGGCCCACCATAGCAAGCATGGATTCATATGCCTCGCCTTTTTTGTTCCTGACTTCACTTCCTGTCTTTACCCTTCTCCTTTTTTTCTCCTGTAAACTTGTGCTGTCTCACTGTATTTTATATATAAAGTGAGTTGTGAAAATGCCCAATCCTCCCTAAAGTCCTACAAGATTTCCAGGCCCTATCTCCTTTTTCATATTTATAGGCACCACTGCACTTCTGATTTGCGGTACACAAAGCTTTATATCCTGCTGGCAACTTCAGAAAGTTAACTCTCTCTCATGATCTCATTGTATTACTAGGTTTGAGATGCTCGATGCGGCAAAGAACAAGCTCCGGGTGAAGATCAGCTATGTAATGATTGCCCTGACAGTGGCAGGATGCATCTTAATGGTTATTGAGGGCAAGCAGGTGAGAGTGGACTTCCTATCTCTGTTTGTTTTCCACAGAGGGCCTATAGGAAATCAGGGATTGACTCCCATATTTATTCTCTTGAGAAGAAAAGGCTGCTTTTACACAAGAAATTAGAAGAAACAAAGATATAATAGGGCCAAACCTAGGATCATGCTTGGGGATAAATAGCAAATCCTAACTTTGGCAGGGGGAAGGACTGTTAGTTTTCTGTAAAGTAAAAAGTATTCATCAATCCCCAGATGTCATAAATAATGTGAAACAAGAAATATGACACTGGCAGATTTAATGATAGCTCTGTGCATGTCTATAAAGCACTCTTAGTACATGGGTTTATTTATCCTCCTTCTAACTGCCTGAATCCTGATGAGTAATCTTATCACACTTCTCTACTTCAAGCTCAGCCAAGCTGGTCATATATCTGAAGACCATAGCTCCTAAGCAGTACATAGGAATTCTTTTATTTTAACACAGATAATTATTAATAGCATCACTAATTGAATATTTTGCTGTTGTCTCATTTGAACTTCACAACACTACAAGATCGGTACTATTATTTGGACCTCATTTCCAGCTGAGAAAATATAGCTTAGGAAGGTCATCCATCTCCCTAATGGCAGAGCCACAATTTGAACCTACACCTAATTGAGGTGATATTAAAATTGCTCCCACTGATATAATGATCAACATAATTTTATGAATGAGAATAGATCCAGAGACAAATGGTAGGGGAGTGGGGAGGGGGGTTAGAGAGCAACCAAAGGACTTGTATGCATGCATATTAGCATAACCAAAGACACTGGGCATTGGAATGGCTGGGGGAGGGGGGGGCGGGCTGCAATTTGGGAAAAAGAAGACATAAGTAAAACTTCAGACAATAATAAAAAAAAATTTGCTGCCACTTATTGAGTGCTTATAATATCACAGGCATTGTTAAACTCATTTATTTACCACAATAACCCCAAGAGGTAGATTCTCTTGCTATCTGTATTTTATAAAAGAACATAAAGCTTAAAAGGTGTTAAATAATTTTCCCAAAGTCACATAGCTAATACGAGTAAGAAGATAAAAATTGAGAGCCAAGTATGCAAATCATCAAACTTTATACTGTACTATCCTGTGATTAAAATATAGTTTTATATGCAGCAGCACTGGTTAAGCCTTTATTTTAATACTGTGTCTAATTCCGTTTCACAGTTTACATGTGGAAACGGATGTCTTGTATCTATTATCAGATATTAAAAGAGTTTTTCTACAAACCCAGTGGTAACTGATCTCCTCTGAAGAGTCTAGTCTAGAGCAATGATCAGCAAACTGCAGCTCGCAAGCCACATGTGGCTCTTTGGCCCCTTGAGTGTGGCTCTTCCTAAGCCTTAGGAGCACCCTAATTAAGTTAATAACAATGTACCTACCTATATAGTTTAAGTTTAAACAACTTGGCTCTCAAAAGAAATTTCAATCGTCGTACTGTTGATATCTGGCTCTGTTGACTAATGAGTTTGCCGACCACTGGCTAGAGTAAGAGAAAGGAACCACCAGCTCTCTTTAGTTTTGGAATGTTAAATACTGTTAGGCTGACGTTCTGGGAGCAAGAAGGGCAGTGTGCAGACCTGGGTGAAGTTCTTTTGACAACTCTTCCTGCCCCACTTCAGTTTTTCTTCTGTCTCCCTCTTTGACCTCTCATGCTTCGTTCTGACTGAAATCTGCAGAAGCAGGTGAACAGGACATAAGGGTTTCTAGAACTCTATGTGAAATTACACAGAAAATACTACCTTATATGGTGGTAGTATCACTTGGTATAAAAATTTTGAAGCTGGTCTGTTCATACAAGCTTCACATATAATGTAACAGGTCACAAGGAGGGAAGCAAGGGAAGAGGATGGTTGCCTCTCCCCCACTGCTGTTTGCTCTTTAAGGATGGAGTCTTAGGATAGAAGCTGCTGGAAGTCATCAGTGATAATATTTGGGAAAGTCTGGGATCCCCAAAGCTGAATGGTTTTTGGTATGAAAGAATACAAATGAGTTGGAGAAGGAAAAAATGGTAGCAGCCAAAAAAAAGTAAAAGGAGAAAAAAAGGATAAAAATGAGAACATATTTAATACTAAAGGGAGGGAAAAGGGAAAGACAAGGGAATAAATTGTAAGAGAAGAGAGACAAGATTTAAAGAATGAGGCCAGGAAGGAAGAGAAGTGCTTGAATGAGTGGACTGATGGACTGTGAAGCAGTAGAGGAAGCAGAAGTCACATGGAAGGGACTGCTGTGCCCAGTGTGCATGCTCCAGACCGTTCCGTTCTTGTACTCTTGTACCATCGCTAACCTGCTGCCATCAGTGACGTCATTCACAAACGGGCATAAATAATTTCTTGTTCAAATTTGTTTCATTTTAGGCTGTCAAAAGACATGAGTCTTTAACAAGCCTGAACTTAGAAAAGAAAGCTCGTCTGAGAGAGGAAGCAGCTATGAAGGCCAAAACAGAGTGAGAGGTATTCATGTTGGCTAGATTTTGAAAACCCAGGAATAATGTGTCAGCAACAAGCCTGTCTTAAAAGAATGTGGTATGAGGATCCATTTCATAAAAGTTATGGTTTGTACAAACATACCATTTCCCTATTTCTGCTCTAGAGGTACAAATAAATTTTCTTAAATGACTTGTCTAATTTCACGGCTTTGATCCAGGTTAAATGCGTCCTCTCAACTTTTTGGATTAAATGAAAAACGAGACAACTTATTTTGACTTAAATATTAACTCTTTAGAGTCAGGATCCATATCTTACTTTACTTCCATTACCAAAGTGACCTCTCCCCAGAAGTCAAAATGCCTCTTTTTCTGCATTTCTCTCTCTCTCTCTCTCTCTCTCTCTCTCTCTCTCTCTCTCTCTCTCTCTCTCTCTCTCTCATTTGTATTCCTTTCTGGAAAGAGAAGGAAGGCCATCTGAGAACACTGCCCAAGTGCATCTTAGAGAGCGAACCTCCTCAAGTGCCATGGTTCTTCTCAGAGCCCTGGAAAGCAGACAGAACACACTTTGCCATTCTGGGGTGTGCTGGCATAGAGGCTTTTAGGAGCACAGTCCTTGAAAATGTCCTAGCAAGGTGATGATAATGATCTTGCCACAAGTTTCTGAGGACTTTGAAATCCCCGCATCATTGAATTGCTTGGGACTAGCAGTCACCTCTTCTGCTCCATGGCTTAGAATTCCTAACTGGTCCTTGTCCTGCTGCCTTTACACTAAACTTCTCAATTATGAAAGTCTATCAAATGCATTTTCTTATTAGTGTTGCATTTGCACCTGGTATATATCTCACTTTGACCGGTATGCCAAGCTGTCTCATATTTAGGTAAGGATGCTGGTTTCTATTTTAAATAGTCATTTATTCTCTCACAAATAATAGTGGATGACAAGTCCTCACAGCCATCTCAATCTGCTAGGTCTCCTAAAAGGGTTATAGCAGATTAAAATGCAGCTGTTTGGGAACTTGGCTTAATAAAATGTAATATATCAGTCTACCTAGAGCTTTATAACTATCTGATGTTAATGATGTTTGTCTATAAATTTTATTTTGTAGTAATTTGACCATAGCTTCTTTTTAGATACCAAATTCTTTGATTTTTATCACTTGAAAATTTACTATCAAGAAGCACTGTTCCTTACACATTTTAGATTAGTTTATTTTGGAACATTTATGTTACATCTTACCTAAACCAATGTTCTAAATATGGGTAAATTTTAATGTACTTCTTTTAAAAATAAGTAATCTTTCTTCATAAAACAATACCATTTTTAATTTCTAAAGTAGCATTTTAAAGTGTTGTATCTTGGAGTTTTATTGTAATAAAAATGTTTTCTTAAACCAAAGCTCACATATGAAGCAAAAATACACACAATCTTTTCTCATTTTGTGTCATTCTCCTGTTCAGTAACTTATAATGACTACCTCCTTATGGATTAAATACAAATTCCTTGGCCAGAGTTTCAGACCTACCCCTATCTAATCTCACTTCTCCCAGTACCCCCACATGCTAACTTCTCAGCAGTCATACCCTACTAGTAACTTTTAATATCTTATGTTTTTCAGAACTTGTCAAGCAATTCAGATATAGTGAGCACTAGTATAAAATACTGTAGAACACAAAAGACAGTTTTGCTCTTGATACTTTCAATTAAATTACTGTTGTACAATCTTTTGCTTAATTTCTAGATTTTTTTTTTAATGTTTACCATGTCTCTAGATCAGGGGTGGGCAAACTTTTTGACTCGAGGGCCACAATGGGTTCTTAAACTGGACCGGAGGGCCGGAACAAAAGCATGGATGGAGTGTTTGTGTGAACTAATATAAATTCAAAGTAAACATCATTACATAAAAGGGTACGGCCTTTTTTTTCAATAGTTTTATTCATTTCAAACAGGCCGGATCTGGCCCGCGGGCTGTAGTTTGCTCACGGCTGCTCTAGATAGTGGGCAGAAACCATTTTCCACTTTATATTTTATATAAGCCTTGTGTGAGATTATACTCAGATACAACAAAAATAATAGTATGGGGAATTGATTCCAAAAATTTAGTGAAAGCAGGCAAGGAATGAAGTGCTGGTGATATAATTCCTTGTCATTCATCAAACATCACTTGAGTCCCTTCTATATACAAAAACTGAGAATACAAAGTCCAATAGCATAACATATTTCTTGTCTCCACAGAACACATAATATATGGGAAACATGCCTATGAAACCATTACAATACAAATTGATAAGTGATATATTTTGAACTTTAATAACAGAAACGATAGAAATAGCAATAGCCGTAACTGGTTTAACTCAGTGGATAGAGCATCAGCTTTGAACTGAAGGGTCCTGGGGTTCAATTCTGGTCAAGGGCACATGACTCGGTTGCTCGATCCCAGTAGTGGGCGTGCAGGAGGCAGCTGATCAGTAGTTCTCTCTTATCATTGATGTTTCTATCTCTTCTCCCTCTCTGAAATCAAATATACATTTTTTTAAAAAAATAAAAATGCTTTCTTTTAAAAAAAAAGAAATAGCAATAAAATCTAACTCAGCTGCCAACTGTGGTTGGAGTCAGGCAGGCAGTGATGGCTCCACAAAATACTGATTTCTGAACTAAGTTTGAACCATGGATAGGAACTAGTGAGTCAGTCACATAATGAAAGAGAGCGGCCTCACCACTCCAACATTTAGCTTGTTTCAAAATCATGAGGGCACAATCTGACAAGCCATCTAGGCGTCCTTCAGAAAAATGCCATTTATAATGTTTTACACTCTCAGAACAAACCTAACCATGACTTATTTTTCCCAATTAAAGACTTGATTCCATAGACTATTTCATGTCCCATTTGGTAGGCTATCACTATACAGGAATTGCACTTAGTGTGAGTGGTGCCTGACACACATCTCTAATCCACCACCATCCCAGGCCTAAGCTCTTATTCATCTGATCTCCCAAACCAAAAACCTTGGAGTTATTCCAAACTCCTTTGCTCTCCTCATTTAATTAATCATTCTGTCTTGTGAATCTTCTAAATATTCCTCAAATATACCAATCCTTTAAATAGTCATCGAGAAGAATAGAATGGAAATCTATTCAATGACAGACACAAGAGATTAATAAACTTCAAGATTAAGAGTCAGAAGCCCTGGGTTCTAGACTTGCTATTCCAACTGTCTTGCTTTGAAAATGTAGGTTGTATGTCTTAAAATCTTATATAATTCAAGACAATGTTAAGAAATACAAAACCATGCCAAAATTAAGAGAAATCATCTTTTAAAATATACAACTTTTTGCCAACTTGGCTCTACTACTTGATTTCTAAAGGGTTTAGTAGTTACTTATCCACAGTTTAATTGTTTTGTCATTTCCTAACGCTGCTGATGCAATGATGTTTTCTGTAGGATGACAAGCTGCTGAGATGACGACATCTGTGTGACCTTGTAATTTCTGTACAATCTCTTTAGTCTGAAGGTTCCAAATGTAAACTAGGTTATCCTCTGAACCAGACACAATCCACTTCCCACCAGTAACTGAAAAATTGGCAAATATGCAGTATTTCTCATCTTTATGACCAGTGTATGTCTTCAGGCATCTGCCTCTGCTATAATCCCATAGTTTAAGAGTATTATCCAAAGTTGCAATGAGAATGTATTTACCATTTGGAGAAAATTTTACAAAAGAGACGGGCGGGTTATCATCATCAATAAGTGTTTTTAAACACTGACCTGATGCAGCATCCCAGATTCTACAGATGCCATCGTAACTGCCTGACGCTATCAAGGACCCATTACAACTAAAATGAACAGCAGAAACTGGGTCAGAATGAGCAGACAAAGTCTTGAGGCACTTGCCTGTTTTCACCTCCCATATTTTCACACTCTCATCAAAAGATCCTGAGATTATGAGGTTGGATGGTGGATTGAAATTACAGCAAAACACATAATTACTGTGCCCCTTCAGCGTTTTCAAACATTTTCCTGATCTCACATCCCAAATCTTGAGAGTTTTATCATCTGAGGCAGAAACAAGACGACTGGAATCTGATGACCAGTCAACATCTGATATTTCCAGACTGTGACCATGAAGAATTTTCTCCTTTTTTCCATCATAGGCTCCCCAAATTATAATTACTTTGTCAGCAGAAGAACTTGCTAGCCACTCGCCATTAGGACTAAACTTAACTGATGATACTGCTTCCATATGTCCCACAAGAGTACATCTGAGAGCATAGTTTGGTTTTTCATACGCTTGTTTGCTCTGATTGGCTGATGAGGTGAGGGCCGATTCTGCTTTGGCATCTGATTCCTTTGTTGCCATGGCTTCGAAATCACTAGGTTGGCTCAGCGTCCGGCCCAGAACCAGGCAGCCCAGTATTTTGATTTTCTGCCCAGCAAAATGAAGATTAAAACATTAGATTAGACTAAAAAATAAACGGTCTTTAATGATAATTTCTGGATCATCTCTAAATTACCATATACACAAGGCTTGCACCGCTTCAGTTTCTCCTCGCTTCCTTCTGTAAACAAATACTTGAGAAATATTATTAAAAAGTCCCATGCGCAGTCAGCAAGTAAGGTATTAATGTTGGGTATTTTGTGAACGTACTCAGGCGTCCAAAGCGGGGCGGGGCAGGGCGCAGGGAAATCTCTATACAAACTATTTTTCACGACCCCTCCCCCAGTTCGACAGGTCTGAGAACACTGAGAACCCTCACAGTATGGCAGAGTTTAGGTACTTTAGCATGAATGCATCACCGCTTTAGACAGATTTCAGAAGCTATGAAAAACCTGCGTAATCGCCGTTATTCGAGGTCCGGCCTGCCGACTGCATTCTGCAGATACAAACTGGTCATCACCGCCGCGTCAACCGCTAAAACAGCCGGCCCGACCCTGAGCGCATGCGCAGAGGGAGCCACCTACTTCCGAGTCGAAGTGACCAATGGGGGAAGCCTTCGTGCGCTTGCGCACAAAAAAGGAAGCGGTTTTTTTCCGGTCTTCTTCGCCCCCGCCTCTACACGGAAATGCGCAATGTCTTCTTAACCCCGGGACGGTGTTGTTCCAGACTTGACCGGCTAGAGTGGGAAGCGGTGAATATGTCAGAAAAGATTTGTTTCTTTTTGCAAACCGTGTCACAAGAAAGGACTGCATTTTCCGCCTTTAGCCGCAGGGCTAAGCCCACAGTTGGGACGTGAGCTGCCCAGACAGTGCGCGTTTGGGAATGTGGCTAAGTCTTGTATACAGCAAGGCTGCAAATGGGCTGGGGGAGCGAAGCGACTTCTGGTTTTAAAGTTTTCCCTAAAAGCCATGGCCGGATTGCTCAGTCGGTTAGAGCGTCATCCCTCTGCACCAAGGTGACAGGTCGAGCCCGATCACGACACATAACAGGAATCAACCCCTGGCGGGTGTGTCCTGGTGGTTGAGCGTGGACCTAGGAACTAGGAGGTCCCGGTTGGATTCCCGGTCAGGGCGGGCTGTGGGCTCAATACCCAGTAAGGGGCGGGGGGGCGGGGGAGGGTGGAGGGGGGCAGCCAATCAATGAACGATTCTCTCTGATCTTGGATGTTTCTCACCCTTCCTCTCTGAAATCAATAAAAATATATTTTAAAAATAATAAAAAAGAAAAAGAACCAATGTAAGTGAAACAACAAATTGATGTCTCTGTCCTCCTCCCCCTCCCTCTTTCTCTAAAATCAATCAATAAAAATAATGAAGTTTCCCCTAAATGTTTAGAAAAGGATAAAAGAATATGTGTTAGGGGCCTTGAAACGCCAGTGCTCAGAGAGCATGATCTGGTAATGCTGGGGTAAACTTCCATATAGTTTAAGCTTCCAAAGAAAATTAAGGAAAGTTCCTATCTGCATAGGTGCTTGAGACAGAAAAGGGACAAAGAAGTTGATGGAATGGGGTAAGAAATGTGTATGGTTTCTTCTAATTAGACTTTAGAGCCTTTACCTCAGTTTTAAGAAATGAGTAATGGCTGTGAAAGTATTACCTGAACGATACATGTTTTTCAGATGTAATTACTCTCTTTAAACAAAAATAGGTTTACAAAAAAAAAAAAAATTGGTAATTTCTCCAATCCTTGAATTGCTCAATAAAGAGTGCCCGAGAGAGTCAGCAAGTGTTCTGTTTTAAATGGTTTTCCCCATAGATAAGTTGAAGTCAGGAGGCAAATAACCTTCATGTTTTCTGTCAACCAAGAATTAAAACATTTGCCCTAGCTGGCTTGGCTCGGTGGATGGAGCATCAGCCTGCGGACTGAAGGGCCCCAGGTTCGATTCCAGCCAGGGGCACATGCCTGGGTTGTGAGCTCGATCCCCAGTGGGGGGCATGTAGGAGGCAGCTGATCAGTGATTCTCTCTCATCATTGATGTTTCTAACTCTTTGTCCTTCTCCCTTCCTCTCTGAAATCAATAAAAATATATTTAAAATTTTAAAAAAATAAAGAATTAAAACATTTAAAAACAAAGGGTTTCCTATCTTTTAAGGGATAATCGGTACAACGGCACAATATATCACCTATAATTAGGTATCGCATGAGGTAAAAACCTCATTAAGACCCTACTACTTTAGTTTGGAAATTATACAGGAATTGCCCAAATGCTTTAGTCTTAGCTAGTCCAAATCAATGAGATAAACATCTTTTCATTTTTTAGATAGACATCTTTTAAAAGGTTTGGAGCTTCCATTTATGCACGTTATGATTCCTCTTAACTACCATGGACCTCCCCTCTGTAACACTTTTAAAAGACACACTTTTTCACTGTACTGTATCTTAAAGTTCAATTCTGTTTAAACTGTGCCTTCTCCCTCTCCTATCCTCCTCCCATTAGCCTAGATTAGTGTGATTGTTGCTGGGAAACATAGAACCATTTTAAATTCTGCATCAATTGAAATTATTTCCACTGGAATTAATTCATTAAAAATAAATTTAAAAGTACTTAAGAAAAAAAGTGTAGGCTTTGTTCCAAAGAATTTAAGCAAATCTATTTTTCCAATAACTGTTCTATGTGCTGGGAGAGTAATGAAAGAGGAATTTAGATAAGGTAAACACATGACATGAGGACTAGGTTGGGGTGTTAGTGCTGGAGTGTAGTTAGCCCACTAGAAATACCACAAGAATGAGGGAAAAGGGGCACATGAGAATGTGTTGATAGGAATATTCAGAAAAATAATTTTCCCAGAACTTGACTGAAAAAATGTCCAGTATTAAAATTCATTTCTTGATTTCTGGATTTTTTTTTTGGTCAGGAATTCATGTAAAGGAAATCAAAGCTATGACTATAACTAGTCAAACCATTATCCACTAGTCATGTTATAATACTAACATGTAGTCATAATATTGTAGTCCTTGTGAATTAAGACTAAGAATTTAATAGTTTACTTCCTGGGGGGCACAGGAGCATCAGCAAGTATGGAGTAAGAGCAGGGTAAAAGGGACAGGAACCATAATTATAGATTTGCTTTGGGGCTCTCAAAGTATCCTACAGTCCCTATTTAACAATTTCTATATTTGCAGCCTTTAATTGCCACCAAATAAGTGATTTGGAAGTTTTCCTTCCTGTAGAAATCAAGTTATTTTCTTTAAATTTCCCATAACATTTTTTAAAGTTTTTATTTATTTTTTTAATGCTCAGCCAAAGATATTTTTTCATTGATTTTCAGAGAGTGCAAGGGAAAGAGAAGACACAGAAACATCGATGTGAGAGAGGCACATTGATCGGCTGCCTCCTGCACACACCTCGACCAACCGAGGTACGTGCCCTTGACCACATTGAACCTGGGACCCTTCAGTCATCAGGCCCACCCTCTATCCCAGTGATGGCGAACCTTTTGAGCTTGGTGTGTCAGCATTTTGAAAAACCCTAACTTAACTGTGGTGCCGTGTCACATATATTTTTTTATATTTGCAACCATAGTAAAACAGAGACTTATATTTTTGATATTTATTTTATATATTTAAATGCCATTTAACAAAGAAAAATTAACCAAAAAAATGAGTTCGCGTGTCACCTTTGACACGCGTGTCATAGCTTCGCCATCACTGCTCTATCCAGTGAGCCAAACCTGCTAGGGCCCATAAATTTTTTTTTTTTTTTAAGAGAGAAACATCCATCAGTTGCCTCTGCACCCCCAAGTGAGGATTGAACCCACAACCTGGATATGTGCACTGACCGGGAATTGAGCCCACCACCTTTTGGTGTAGGGGATGACACTCCAACCAGCTAAGCTACACAGGGCTTCCATAGAAGTTTTGTTTTAAATATATTTTTATTGATTTCAGAGAGGAAGGGTGAGGGATAGAGAAAAACATCAATGATGAGAGAATCATTGATTGGCTGCCTCCTGCACACCTCACACTGGGGATCAAGCCCACAACCTGGGCACATGCCCTGACCGGGAATCGAACTGTGACCTCCTGGCTCATAGGTCAATGCTCAACCACTGAGCCACGCTGGCCAGGTTTCTATAGTTTTAAAATGGAAAGTCTCATCTGTGGTTGAAAAGTTTATTCTCCTTGCCCCTCAAATTTGTAAAATTTGCAAATATTCTAAATAGAAATGTTGCCACAAATGGATCATTTTAAGATTTATGAAAAATGTTTTTATTGATTTTAGAGGGCAAGAGAGAGAAACATTGACTGGTTGCCTCCCCCATGCGCCCTGACCAGGGATGGAACACACAACCCAGGTATGTGCCCTGACTGGGAATCAAACCGGCGACCTTTCAGTGCACAGGACTATGCTCAACCAACTGAGCCACACCAGGCAGGACATTTAATTTATTGACTTTAGAGGGAGGAGGGAAAGAGAAACATCGTTTTGTTTCAGTTATTTATACATCCACTGGTTGATTCTAGAATTTTCCCTACCCAGGGATTGAACCCCCCACCTTGACATATGAGGACAACTCTCCAACCGAGCTACCTGGTCAGGGCAGTTGGTTTTTGTTTTTTATTTTTATTTATTTAATATATTTTTATTGATTTCAGAGAGGAAGGAGAGGGAGAGATAGAAACATCAATGATGAGAATCATTGATCACTACTGCCTGCATGCCCCCTAATGGGAATCGAGCCCACAACCCGGGCATGTGCCCTTGACAGGAATTGAACCCGGGACCCTTCAGTATGCAGGTCGAAGCTCTATCCACTGAGCCAAACTGGCTAGGGCTGTTTTGTTTTGTTTTTTAAAAAATATATTTTATTGATTTTTTACAGAGAGGAAGGGAGAGGGACAGAGAGTTAGAAACAGAGATGAGAAAGAAACATCGGTCAGCTGCCTCCTGCATACCTCCTACTGGGGATGTGCCCGCAACCAAGGTACATGCCCTTGACCGGAATTGAACCTGGGACCCTTCAGTCTGTAGGCCGAAGCTTTATCCACTGAGCCAAACCGGTTAGGGCTGTTTTGTTTTTTAAAATATGTTTTTATTGCTTTTTAGAGAGAGGAGAGAAACAGAGATAGAAACACAGATGGACTGCCTCTTGCATGCCCCCTACTGGGGATTGAGTTTGTAACCTTGGCATGTGCCCTGACCAGGAATCAAACCAGTGACCTCTTGGTTCCTGGGTTGATGCTCAACTGCTGAGCAACACCGGCGGGCTGGTTTCTTTTTCTTTTTTTTTTTTTAATTACAAATTTTTTGTATAAGTGTGTCAGACCTAAACATGGCCTGGGAGTGATTTCCTACATTAAGGGTCATCTTGACTGACTTGCTTTGTAGTAACTCTGATTACCCAATTCAGTCTCAAAAATCAAACTGAATAGGACTGTGTACATATAGTTGCTTTAGACCACCAGCAATTTAAACATATGAAAATCTACTTGAGTTTAAATATGGGCTGGCCATATAACTTACTTAAACTGAGACTTTTTTTTAAAGCAAAAGGAGACACTGAAATAACAGGTGTTGATCTAAAAACTGGGACTGCCCCCAGAAAACCAGTACAGCCACTGCTGACTTCTCAAGAGGGCTCTCTCCTCATAACCACAGTTTAATCTTGGAAAGTTCCGCACTCTTCACAGGATATTTTACACCCCATCCTGCCGAGCTCTCTCTCTGGTAGTGTTCTGTTCCCACCACTGTGGTCTTCTGAGTTTCTATTTTCTCCCTCCCCATCACTTTAAATAATGCTGGACCCAAGTGGTTTTGGTAAGGAAGTGAACCACATTGTGGACACCCACCTGCTGGACTCCTTTGGCTTCCTTAGGGTAAGTGGGAAAGAAAAAGGAATTTAAGAGTAATTTTATTCTTTGCAGAACATTCAGTATCACAGAAATGACCACTTACTTTTTTCTCAAACAAGGCTCTTTCAAAATGGCAAATGAAATAGGGAAAACAATCATCTAAGCTGACTACAATAAACTTGTAAACCCAACAATTTTGTACTATAGATGATAGTGTAGTCTGCAGGAGTTAAGGGTATATTTTAAGGTTTTGTTTTGTTTTCAGAAAAACAAAACACCTGGTCAGTGGAAT